ATTTTCAGTAATACTGCTGAGAGTGAGAGAACCATAGATTTCACATGGTCATAAGTTCTTATAAATATAGTTTCTGTGTATTTTTTAAAATTATATTTTGTCTTCAAATTTTTCTTTTAATATGCTTTTATATTCTTATCAAATCTCTTGTAACTTCTTTGTTCCTATTTTCTACTTTAAGCTCTTCGCTTTCTCAGTCCATTTTTGTCTCAGTATATCTAAACTAATAAATGCAACCTCAGTTTCTCCTTTAACATTTCATTCTTAGTTTCAGAAATCTAAGTGATAACTGAATCCTTATTTTCAGTTTCTTTTTCCATTGCTCATTTTTCTTTTTCTGTAGTAAATTTTATTAAGCTAGTGTTTATAACTATTCCACAGTTTATATTCCCTTTACTGATCCATCCCATCTCACCTTGACGTCTTGGTTGATATTGGTCCCAAGTAAAAACATAGCTCTCTTTTGTTTTAAAAGCATAATCTCAGAAGTAAAATCAAATACAGCCTACACTCAGCAGCCTGAGATACCGGAAAATAAATATTCCTTGTGCATGAAAGGATCTCAGGTAAACTTAGAATCTTTGATATGAATCCTAGAATAAAGTGTTAGTGATTGCTATAGTTCAAATACGTATCATTGAAGACTTATCACCTTTATTTAGTAATAGCCTTGTAAAGTTAAGATTCCTTCCATATGAGAGAATATACCCTAAAAGTATTGAAGAGTTTGAAATAACTCAGTTTAATTTTGCTGACTTTAGTTGTCCAAAATTTTTAAAAACTAATGATTTTAAAGAAAAACTATTAAGAGTCAACTAATGATTCTGATTAAAATTGTTTTTTGCATCTCTTCTTCTCCCTTAGCTTTTTGGAGGTATAAATTGACAAATAAAAATTATATATATTTACAATGTGTAACATGTTTTGATATATGTATACGTTATGAGATGATCACCACAGTCAAGCTAATTAACATATCTATCACTTCATATAATTTTCTTTTTTATTGTGATGAAAACATTTAAGATTTATACTCTTAGCAGATTTCAAATATACAGTATAGTAGTATTAACTGTAGTTGTCATACTCTGCTTTAGATCTCCAGAATTGATCCATCTTGCATGACTTAAACTTTGTACTCAACATCTCCCCCCACCTTCCCCCAAACCCTGGCAGCCACCGTTCTACATTGCTTCTATGAGTTTGACTTTTTTAGATTTCACATATAAGCGAGATTGTGCTATATTTGTTTTTCTGTGCCTGTCTTATCTTATTTCACATAACAGAATGTCCTCTAGATTTATCCATATTGTCTCAAATGACAGAATTTTATTCTTTTTTAAAGCTGATGTCTTCAGCCTTAAAATGTGTGTGTGTATACACAGAAAGTATTCTATTGCATATATACCACGTTTTCTTTCACTACTCATCCAGTTTCAATTGACACATAGATTGAATTCATATGTTTGCTATTGTGAATCATTTCTGTATTTTTTACATTGATTTATAAAAAGAACAAAATACTTTTAGTGCCAAATATTAAAAAGGTAGGCATTGGGGGAAATATACATTTCTTTCTTTGAAATGTTGATGTGTGACAAATCTTGGATTCCAACACAAAAATATTTGCTGTTATCATATGCGTTAAGAATAAGAAGGTTTTGGACTAATGAAATATTAGCACTTTTCATTTTTCTCCTTCTTAAGTATCTTTGCATATTTAACTAGGTCTTGAACAGAACATTTTTTTATATATACTACTCATCTATGAGAAACCTAAATTGATTTACACTAAAACAAATTCTCCCAATTTACATAAGAGGAAATTTAAGGAATCGTTTCACAACGTCTTCCAACTGTTTCAAATGGGTTTATCTTAATGATTTAGTTGAATGACTTATCCAGTGCCATACTGGAAGTGTAAATGAAAAGTACGACGTGTAAAACTCTTATTTCAGTATTCATTCCACAAGTTCGCCATTTCCAAACTAGTACTTGGAACAGTTTATAATGTTAAGTATTTTAAGTTTTAGTACCTCGAAATAAATTCATTTGTTGAATGATTTCATGTTAAAATCTCCTAAAATATAACGTTCAGAGTTTTCTTGCTTCCTTATCTGAAGTTGTAGTAACTTCAATTTCCTGCAGTGCAGGACCCACCTGGATAATATTTGAAAATAGCAAAATATTAGTTATCTCTTCTAATATTTACTTACTCTCTGAGATGCTCACAAAACTGAGTAGTCTTCATTAGATAAGATAATTTTGCTACTTAAATTCTGAGCTTCTGAGTTGCTATTAACTGTACTAATCTTAAATCCTATGAGAAAATAGATAATCTTTTTCAGAAAATCACGTTTGATTGCTATAATGGAAACTAACATTAACTTTCTCTACCCATTCTAGATAAACCCTGCTTCAAAATGTCAGAAACACTGCTTCAAAATGTACTTTCCTTTATTTTTTTTAACTAGCATGTTAAAATCTCTTGAATTTTCTCCTGGGATGTGAGACATAAAAATTTCATTTGAAATATATCAATAGTAACAGAAATAATAGTTAAGTAGAGCCGTTCCTAACTCCAAAAAAGCTTGAAGTCCTTAATTTAGATGCTTCATAGATTCCTCAGTAAGTCTGTCTTCCTTTACCTCCTGCCAGTACAACCCAGGAGTCTTTTCCAGATAAATTCAGAAGTAAGTCGACACAAGTTATTTGGCAAGCCAAACAAAAATTCATCGTTCTTTTCCTACCTTTTCCTTCACCTCTGTCTCCTCCCCCACCCCACCCCCACCCATTAGTCTTCAGGCTTCTTTAGTTTCAGAAGCAGTCATTCCTACTTTATGTCTAAATCAGCATACTTTGAAAATGGGAGAAGTCATCACTGTTTTCTTTAACTGTCTTCATTTTCAGGCTGAAATTATAGGAGTTACTTCTGGCTCCTAAGACAGTTGTTGTTGTTGTTTTTCCATGTTGAGAGTTTCAGATACTAAATTTTAAAAGGAGATTATTAGTTTAATCACCTTTTTTATTATGTAAATTGTCAGATGTTTCTGTTCTCTTAATATTACCTCTTCTCTGTTTTGTTGCTATAGATTTAATATAACCTTTTAAGAGGTTTTTATTGTAGTGTCTTGACATGATTGGTTAGCTTTAAAATGTTGCCTTTTTGCCTAGTCTACACTAAAATCTACTGAGTGTTCTAATTGCACATAACACCAAAGGAAAACCTTGTCTACCACTTTTAAAAACAAACTGTAAATGTGAAAATGTCTTTTATATGACTGCTTTATAAAGCTCAGTGTGTGCATGCGTGCATGCTTAGTCACTTCAGTTATGTCCGACTCTTTGGACAGTATCCCACTAGGCTCCTTCGTCCGTGGGATTCTCCAGGCAAGAATACTGGAGGGATTGCAGTGCCCTTCTCCAGGGGATTTCCTGACCCAGGGAGCAAATCCATTCTCTTACATCTCTATTAGCTTTGCAGGTGGCTTCTTTACCCACTTAACCAACTGGGAAGCCATAAAGCTCAACTAAGCAGTTTTAATCCAGAAGAAGAAATGGCCTGTATATTGTAGACAAAAAGTATGCACCAGCAAATGATCTTTGTTTTACCTCAGTTTGAAAACATAATATATAAAATCGCATATGTTTGTGTTGCCAAGATTATATTTTACTACTTACTATAAACTAATAACACTATTTTAGAAATGTTAAGCAAACACTAGTATTTAGAAAAAGCTGGAAAACTAGAACAATAAACTGAAGAAATTGGAGCAGATATGAATTTTAAGAAAAGCAAACTAGAATCAGATTTTTCCCTAAAGAACAAACAATACTCTTAAGAAATTGAAAGAACCTATTGGAAAGTAAGGTTATAAGGGAGATGTACTCAGGTGGTAAGCAATCAAGTAAAATTATCCATTTTAGTAATAGCTACAATGACCTTAATTGAATAAAATCTGAAAAGTCACTTAATACGAAATACTGGTTTGAATTTGAACTTAAATAAGATCCCATGCAGTTTGGCCAAAGTATAAATAATTGAATAATATTAAGGTTTTTTTAAATATTTGAATTTATCAGTTTGTAATTTTAAAAGGTACACAAAGTTCTCTAGGTATGATTGAAGATTTTTTAAATATCTAAACTATGCAGTAGATTATTACATGTTTAATGTTGACTTGTCGTGATAAGTGTAATACCAGTGGAAGCCACAGGGTGGTGGCAAGAACTTGTGTTAAAGGAGCTTAAATTCATAATTGCACTGTCTTTAAAAATGATTGTTAAATGCTAAAGAGCTGTAACTTGGTTTTCTTTATTCCTCTTATACAGCTGCATTTCTCATCAAAGAATCTATAGCAGAATACAAAGACGCTGATTTAGATGTATAGGCCAATAACAGAAAAGAAGTAAACTCACATGGATTTTTTTCCTAAAGTTTCTAGTCATGTCAGATGCTTGGTGATCAGAGTAGCAATTTCATCAAGATATGAGTTTGAGGAAATTCCTTGAATTATCAATACTGGAAATAGTATTGAAGTTACCAGAAATACTTCATGACTTCATCTTATTTTTCTATTTTCATTTTCCTTTTTCCACTGAATATTCTCATTTTTTAAAAATCTGTTGTAATATATACATATATATGGAGCTTCCCTGCCTGATACCTTACATGATAAAGAATCTGCCAGCAATGCAAGAGACCAGGGTTCAGTCACTGGGTCAGGAAGATCCCCCTGGAGAAGGGAATCACTCCAGTATTCTTGCCTGGAGAATCCCATGGACAGAGGAGCCTGGTGGGCCACAGTCCATGGGGTCACAGAGACTTGGACACAACTGAGGGACTAACACTTTCACTTTAATATATGTAAACATATATATGTAAAACTAACTAAACTTACTTTTCAGTGAGGAAGATAAATGTTCCATTGTTTTCTGTTAATCCATTCTCATTTGAGTTTGGAAGCAATTTAAAGTGGTAATCATTTTATTTCTTTAAGGTAAGAAGACAAGAGGTTTCCTCTCCAAGAAAAGAAACTTCACCAAGGAGTCTTGGCATTCCTTTATTCCATGAAAGGTAGTTCTGTGTCCTTCTTGGCCCACTCTACAAACCATAAATACTCAAATATATTTTTATTTACATATTTAAGTTTTTAGCAATTGTAAGAAACAGCAGCCTTTTAAAACTAGAAGAGATGAACTCAAGGCTTCTCCATGTTAAAATGACCTAAATAAGTCATACAGTTAATATCAGAGATGGTTCTAAAAACTGAATTCTCTGAAGTTCTATTTCAGTAGAACAAGTATTAGGGCCACATAATTTTATATGGATAGATCTTTAATCTTTTCAATGTGAAAAATAAAAAATTAAGTTATTTCTGTTTAAAATATCCACAGAGGACAAAAAGTAAATACATTGTAGTTTCTAATGTTAGAATGAGACAGGCAGCATAAGTTGAATAAGGAGACATGCTAGTTTGTGCAATATGTATTAGAACTTTATCACTTACTTTGTGCCTGGCTCGCCAAATATTAAAGTTGTTTTAGGAAATATTGTCTAGGAATTTAAAATTATATTTTTAAACTTGAACCTTTCAGTAATTATTTTGTGGTACAAAATAATTTTGTGGTACAAAGGTGCTTGTAAATTCAATCGTGATTTCTAAAATTTGAAGATATACTCTTTACATTTTAAAATGTTGATTTATTTTTAGGAGCTATATAGAGAAGACTTTCTGGGATCTGAAAGAAGAATTTCATAGAATATGCGTGCTAGCTAAAGCACAAAAAGATCACTTAAGCAAACTTAATGTACCAACCACTGCAGCTGGTAAGGTTTGATTTAATATACAGTAATGTTAATCTAATTGGTTGAAATTGATTTCTTTTTGATTGTGAAAATGTTTCTAAGTGCTTATTAAGTGCTGAGGATTGTGACTTGTGCCTTTCACCACTTATAATGGATAAGTACTGTTTAAATTCTGTAATTATTACATTGTATCATTATTGGCCTCTTCACTCTAGTTTGTGTGGCACTATACAGATTGAATTGATTGACATAATTACTAATCCTCTTAATAAGAAGTCCTACCTTGGAAAAATAAATATAGGATATATCTCTCAAAATCTTCAGTTGCTATTGGGTGTCTTATTAAAATTAATTGATATATTAGTAAACAACCTAGAAGCAACACTATCATATATGAGCGAAATAAAATTATAACATTAGATTTGTTTTTTAACTTCTGCCTGAAAGTTAATTGTACACCATAGATACATTCTTCTAATTTGATTGAAGAAATAAACATTTCACATTTCATGAGTCCAGTTCTGTTGAAGGCACCAAGTGCAAACTTAGTATAAAATACAACTCAAAAGGAATGTCTGTTTTACAGATATGTTTAGTGTGGTTTTTAAAAGCTCTACCCTTCCCTAAAACCCCAGACAGGCTTCCTGGTATTTGCTTCAGTAGCTAAATATGAATAGCAAAATACCAAGGAAGGATTGAATTTGGCTACCAAGCACCTCTGTAAACAAAAGGAAGGTAAACTGATCATTTATAATGATAAATTCTCTTTTACCCTTGTGGTTTGAGATATTCTGCATACAGTTCCGAAGAGATGTGATTTACAGTTTTCAATCTGAAACACCCCTTTAATTAAAGATCACTTCCCATTTCTTAAAACTCATAACTAGGCTATTTAAGAAATCATTTTATTGTGTAAATTTACTTTTTGCTTACTACTACCATTTTGTTTTCAGAAAAGGTACACAGTGTTCTGTTGGAAAAGCAAAACAATCTTTGTAAACAGACATAGTTTACTTCTCGTCCCTTTGCTGTACTTCCCCAGAAAGAGCTCTGACTTTTTACACTTTAATTTCTGTCATTTTCATGAGAAATTGATCTTTTCTACAGACTGAAAACACTAGGTACTTCTGAAGTAAAGGAATTATCTTTATTTAAAATCTACTAGCTATAGAGATGTAGTACCTAGAATTCATAAACATGCCTCTTTGAACATCAGCGTCTTATCAAAACATTGTAATGTGGCGTATTCATTGTTACACAGAGAACCTACCCATTATCAGTGGCATAATACTTTGACCATTTTTCAGTTGCACAGGTCTAAATCTGAGTATGTATCTGTCAACTGGAATACTTAACTGGAGTGTTTAACTTCAGTTCCTTTCTCACTAAAACTGCTTCATAACAGTTCTTATGTTTTATATTAACTGTGTCACAAATAATAAATACAGCATTATTCTGGAAACATTTTAGGTCTTTTGTGGTACAAATTCCAATGAAGTTTTCTGACTCCAAACAAACCACAATATCAAAAAGTCTGCTTCTGAAAGGAGTATATAAAAGGGGAAAAAAAGAAAAAGAATGTTTGGAGATGGGTTGGGGAAGACGCCTGCCTGTTCAGGTTTATTTTAAGGATGAACACTACGTTGAATACAAATACAAAGTAACTGTTTAATGTGATTTGCATAATATAGCTGGAAAGAGTATATTTAACATGATTGTCCCCTGTGTTATTTTTTGTTAAAATTTGATTTTTACTTCTAAGAAACAGATATAATTCATAAATTGCTGAGTTAGTAGAGTTATAAATTTTCTTTTAATTTTTTTCTTCTCATCCACATATGACAATAACCTTGAGAAAGGATAAAGATGAAATGTATGCTTAAGCAGTTATGGCTTCAGGAAGAAGAACTATTTGGTCCATGAAGCAGGGTCATATTTCAGTGGGGATTAGGAGACGAAGATATAGGACTATTAAGTTAAAGCAACCATCAGATCTTTTTCTTTTGTCATATACCAGATAATTAAACTGAGAAGTAGTCCAAATGGACAGCCTGTTCTTAAAATTTAGAAATCTAAAATTTAGAGATAAGTGTCCTTGAAGTAAACAAAGTAGAAAGACAATAAGCTCACCTAATCATATTTCTTAGTATAGTGTCAGAATGACAAGTGCTTTCATACAGCTTGAGTTTTAAATTTTCTAAGCTTAGATTTCTAGTAGCCTGAGAAATCTTAGGTTTAAACAAAAAAAAAATTTTTTTTTAAATAGTAACTCTTGTTGCTCGAACAGATTAATTCAGAAGATTAATGTGCTAAGAGGTATGCCACCTAGCTATACTGAAAGAAAATATATGCTTTTTTACACTTGTTTGGGTTTTCTATGTTTTGTTCACAAACGGGATAGATCTACTTCTGGAAAAGAAATTTAAAGCACATTTCTATCATTTTGGAGATTCTTTTCTATAATGTAGAAAGCAGCATGTTCAATGTGTCATAATAATTCAGAACAGGCTCTAGAGTTAAGCTGCCTCAGTTCCAGTTCCAGATCTACCACTCATTTATTAGCTGTGTAGCCCTGGAATTAACCCCTGAATTAACACACATACAATGGTTATAAGTGTGTGGCACATAGAAGTTCTGTTAATGTTAGTAGTTGTCATTAGCAGCAGCAGCAGATTCTTTCACATTCACCCTGTTCTCCTATTGAAGAACATTTAGATAAGCGTTTCCTCCTTCTAAGGTGTTAACAAAGTTTAGTTACCTCAAGAGGTGGCTCCTGGTTTATTATTTGCAATTAGTAAGTAAGTAATCTACAAAGAAAGTACTATTTCCTAGAATTTCCTACCATTTTTTAAGTCTACTACCAGGAAAAATGACTACTTGAGAGTTAATGGACCTCAGAGGACAAAGAAATCCTGCCAACCAGTTGTGCTTGATCTTAATACTGTACCACTTCCCTTGTGGCTCAGCTGGTAAAGAATCTGCCTGCAATACGGGAGACCTGGGTTCAGTCCCTGAGTTGGGAAAATCCCCTGGAGAAGGGAAAGGCTACCCACTCCAGTATTCTGGCCTGGAGAATTCCCTGGACTCTAGTCCATGGGGTCGCAAAGAGCTGGTCATGACTGAGAGACTTGCGCTTTCACTTTCACTCCCAGTTACAGACAGATTATCTAGCAAATGTAGATTATTATACTAAGCTCCATGGGAAAGAGAACACAGATTAATTCAGAATGCATTTATTGAGGGCATACTATGTGCAAGTTCTGAGCAGGGTACTGGAGAAAGTGGGAAACAAAACATAGTTTAGGACCTCAATAAATCTACCTTAATGGGAGAAAGAGGTAATTTGCAAATAAAATGCAGAGTGTTTAGTCCTCAGGGCACCCACAAGTCATTACTAAACCAGTCTTGGGAAGCCAGAGCCAGCCATCCAGAGAAGTGAATGCCTGCGCCAAGAAATGAAGAGCATGTAAGAGTTTGGCAAAGAGTAACAGAATGGGGCAGTTCAGATAGTCTGCACCACATGTGCAAAGGCCCAAAGACAAGAGAATATGGCCTTTGGGACAACCGTACCAAAGTTCATTAAAGCTGGAGTAAGGAGTGGAGCAGATGTGGTAAAAGATGGCAGCATGGAGACGTGATCAAGGATCAGTCACGCACTGTTTTATATGAATGTTAGGGCTGAAGGGCTTGGAGAGCCATGAGAAGGGTTTATTAAGAAAATAACTTGACCAAATACGTGTTTTAGAAAAACTAAGGCAGGGTAGGGGAAAGCAGTGTAGATAGTGGAGTGGATATATGAGAAAAATTTAGATGCAAGGAAGCGGTTCAAAGGCTGCTGTAGTTAATCCAGTAAGAGAAGATGGTACATACTAGAGAGAGGTAGAGGTATGTAACAGGATGAACTACAGAAGCCGTTGGCATCATACTACAATCATGTCCAAACAGTAAACATCTTGTGTTGGAATATAGCTTGGCAAAGAAGAGAAAGGTGTCATGAGACTGTAAACACCAAAAGGAAAGGAAAAGAATGACATTTGTTAAGTGCTTACTGATCTGGGCAAACGCTGTGTTGCACAGTGCTCTCTATACCCTGTCTGCTTCAATTGGCCTCAGTGGTTAATGTGCAGCTTCACTGATGACTACCTTCATAGCGTGCTGATTTAAAAAAAATCACCAGGCTTCCCTGGTGGCTCAGACGGTAAAGCAACTGTCTGCAGTGCAGGAGACCCGGGTTCAATCCCTGGGTCAGAAAGATCCAGTGGCAAAGGAAATGGCAGCCCACTCTAGTACTCTTGCCTGGAAAATTCCGTGGATGGAGAAGCCTGGTGGGCTGCAGTCCATGGAGTTACAAAGAGTTGGACACAACTGAGCGACTTCACTTTCACTTAAAAAAAATTTATTTACCATTTGTCCATTTAATGAAAATATGCATATTACCAGCCTCCAATTTCACTGTCTTCTTAAAGTAACATTGTGGGGCATAATTTAGCTTTTTCTAATCTCTCAATATCATCAACAGGGAGAGTGCTTTGATCATCATTTTTGTGCATTGAAAAACGTAGCTCTTGTCGGCCCTACACTGAACTGTAGTGTTTTCTGAGTTCTTCTATCTGCTTTTTTGTTTTTCTTGTCTCGTGCTTTCAGCTCTTACTGATACATGCATCCGCTTTCAACAACTCAGGTCCATACCTTGCAGTGTGCTGCTTCTAACCAGCTATGAACTAGGCAGACATCATCAAGCTTGTTAGAATGAATCTAAAATTAGAATAAGAGCAAAATTCATCTGTGGGCCTTGTGGCTCTAAACCTGACTCCTCAAAAGCACTATTTTCTTATTTTCTAGCTTTTGCCTATGTCCTTGAGAGCTGAATTTGTTGGAAAAGTGTCTTCTAGATAAATCAGCTTCGGAGTTTCTAGTATCTACCTGATATTACCTGTTATCTAGAGAGGCCTTTTCTAAATGAGAAAATCCTATATTCACATAGAGTTTTCTGAACATGCATCCTAAAATTTCATCCTTCTTTTACTTCCAAGCTTTTCTGTCCCTAACACCCACCACCACCACTCCCTCACATAGAGTAGACAGTGGCTAAGCTGATTGGTGATATATTAATATTTGTCACACAGACATATTATAGGGGAGTAAATTACCTAATTCATATAGATTCTTAACCTGTACATATATATGATTGGTAAGGAGTTTCCCTTTTAATAACTTAACTTGTCTAAGCAAGCTAACAGTTGCAGCTTCCATTACTGACAAAATGTTGAGATGTATATGCTATAAGCAAATGTTTTTAAGTGTAGAGCAAATAACTGTGAACAAGACTCAAGGCTTACAGCACAAGACCTAGGAAAAGACAAAGTAGTTAAACTGTGACTAATAAGTTATATTCCAGTTCACCCACTGGAAACTGCTAATATTTCTGTGTAAGACGGTCGCAAATGTAAAAAAAAAAATGCCAGTTGTCTTCAGTTACTATAAAAACCAATAGAAAAAATAATACTCATCTATCCAAAGCTAATTGAACATTCAGATTTTTAAGAATGATTGAAATGCGACTGTTTTCCTTTTGTGTTTTTTTCCCTGCAGAGACACAGTGCTCTATGCCTGTACAGTGTACGGATAAAACAGATAAACAAGAAGTGCTGTTTAAGCCTCAGGCAAAAGATGATATAAATAGAGGTGCACCATGCATCACATCTGTCACACCAAGAGGACTGGGCCAAGATGAGGAAGACACATCTTTTGAATCACTTTCTAAATTCAATGTCAAGTTTCCACCTACGGACAATGACTCGACTTTCTTACATAGCACTCCAGAAAGACCCGATGTCCTTGGTTCTGTCACAGCTGAGACTGTGTGCCAGGATCAATTTAATATGGAGCCCAGAGACAATCCAGGAAACTTTGTCAAAACAGAAGAAACTTTATTTGAAATTCAGGGAATTGACCCCATAGCTTCAGCTATACAAAACCTTAAAACAACTGACAAAACAAAACCCTCAAATCCTTGTATTAGGACATCTCTGGACAGAGCTCCGTGTTTGCCACCTGGAGACCATAATGCATTATTTGTAAATACATTCCCACTTCAGGACCCATCTGATGCACCTTTTCCTTCACTCGATTCCCCAGGAAAAGCTATCCGAGGACCACAGCAGGTAACTGTTTTGCATTAACAAATATATTATGTGTGAACACACATTTTGCCATGCATGCACAGATACGCATCTCTTTCAGGTTATCAGACATCTTTTTTTAAACTACTGACTAGCCAAAGTTAAGCTTTCAACTTACAAAATCCAGGTCTTAAAATAAATGACATGAAATTTAAAAGATGATTATGGCAAAGGTCTATTACAAAGTACCTTAAAATTTATGGCACGTTAAAAATAGATGTAAACCTTGTCTGTATCTAGTGTGTGTCATTATCTTACCTAGTCCCTTACTCAGATTTTTACTCAGTGTCATTGTTATAATAAGATTTTTTATTAAATTTTATTCAGTGAAGCAGATGTCATTTTTTATCAAAAAGTTGTATATATCATACTTAGCTTCATAAGAATGCATCATTTTTTAATAAGTAAATAATCACTGTATATTTCTATTTCTGAAAATAAGTGAACTGTCTTTAGAATAATACTTTTGTTGCAGTCTCATTTATACAGTACTTAGGATCTGGAGGGTTTGGTTTTGGTTTCTAATCTGGCCCTGAACATGCAGCCTAATATATTTTTTAAATAGTCGTTACATATGTGTAATTTTTATCAAATTCTTTAGTATTTATAAAGCTTGCAGACTACTTTCAGCCCACCCTTATGCCACCCCAGTCCCTTTCTACCCTCCCTTTTATTCAGGTGCTATTACAAAATGATTCTTTAAGTTTAAAAAAATTGGGGGTAGGGGTTAATGCCTGAAGACAACTGAAAAATATACAGTTGTTAAACAGGAGCTTGTAAAAAACTGCAGATTGATACAAGTGTCTAAAACAACTTGAGGACATTTGTTTCATTTCCCTCTGCCTTGAGATATTGTACTGAAAACCAAAAAACACCAACAACTTGATTAATACTCTTTGGCTTTGTCAGTATTTTTATAGGTTATAGACTTTTAAATCCACATACAAAGAAGGCAGTACTCAAGCTGTGGTATAGTTTAGCAGTGGAGAAAAGGAGGCAGCTCTTACAATAAGCTTTAATTATTGACTCACTTATGTTCTACATTGTACCTTATTTTACATCATATTCACAGTTATAGTTACTACTTAATGAAACAAATTAAACAATTTCATTTATTGCAAGTAGAATTCCTGTGGAGCTGTGAAGTGCATCAGTTCTAATGCCTGTTACTTTTTTCTCCATTATATCTCGTGCTTGTTCTTTTACTAGTCTGTACAGTCATGTTTCAGTAGATGGCACCCTGCATTGTGCATTTGCTTTCTATGCTACAGCAAGGGAAACAGCTGGTATGTGATTACAACTTGATGGAAAAGTATTCAGCTTAAAAAATGCAGGAGAATTGGTGTTGAGCTGTCACAAGACATGGGGCATAAGGTTAGATAATTGATATTTTGGCAGAAAAGGCAGAGAAATTCGTTTGTTTTGAATGCTGTGTTACAGTTTAGGATTCAAAGGATATTTCTTAAAATGGGTTTTTTAAAACATTTTGTTGTTTTATTTGCTTTAGTAAAGCTACTATGAGGAATACAGAATTCTTGAGTTGTTGATAACAAAAGGAAGTGAAATTTTGGTTTCATAATTCAGATTTTTACTTTTATATCATTACTACTTAACACCTTTTTTATACATTCAGCTATCATAATAAAGTCTAAAATATATCTGTTTATTTTGCTTTATGTGATTTTCTTTTCTTCCTACTTTTGCTGAGTCAGTCATTGGGGTCCCAACCAAATTCTGTGAAAAGATCAAATCTGAACTAATAGGTCCTAACAGAGAAGGATAAGTATGGACTTTGAAAATTAATTGGCAGTAGAAGATTGGCTTATCAAATTTAAAAGCTAGTTTGCTCCTGAGCCTATAACTATTTTACAGATTTTAATTAAAAGTATCTTTAACTTAATAATCTTTTATTTATATCCATATCAATTTCCCATTAGAATGGTACCAATTAATTGTACTTTTTGTTTAAACTGCCAACACTAAAATTTAAGTCTAGATAACTCTTATATACTCACAGTTAGTACTGCTTTCCTTTTATCATGGGAGAAAGGAAATGATTTCACCCCAAATTTCAAATATGTATTTTAAATATTACTGTTTTTTGTTTTAAAATTGTTGCTTCTCACAAAAGGATTTGAGTCAGTGTTATAAGCCCTCTGTATTGATACTTGAATGTATCTGGGTGCTTATTTACACCAATTGTATATTTACACCGACTGCACACAGCTGTCCAGTAAAATGTTTATAAGAAGACAGTGGTGACGTGAAACCCAAATGCTTCAGTTAGTAATATACTGTTTACGTAATGATTGGTTAGCCAGGATGAAAGAGATTGGTTAAGGGAATGAAAACTAACACTGTGTCAAGAGTTGGATAAGGTTGTTATTTTAAAAGCAAATTAGTAATAGGAGCACAAAGGGGTCTCTTTAAGTGGACTTTTTGAGGTGATTTTCCTCAAAGTGCCAGAGTTTAGATGTTTTAAGATAAGAAAGCAAATTTTAGAAATAATTTGGCTTATAGCATTTCAGGAAAATAAGATATTCCAGTCAAGAAACATTTACAGAGCACCTACTCTTGAACTAAATGCTTTCTCTTACCCTTCTAAATATTTTTTTTAATAGTAAATACAGTTAAGAGTATGTATGTGCTGCTTATTATACTAGAGGTAGTTCTGTTGAATTATGCTTTTCCATAATTCTTTAATTGGGCAACTGTTGACAGGCTTCATTTTATTTAGCCACTTAGAAAAGGTAAGAAGGCCAAAGTATACACTGTATAACAGAAGCAAAATAAGAAGTCAGAAGAATGCATCCAGTGTTGGATTTTATTGAATGATTAAATATTTGAGGTTTCAAAAAAGAACTGATCAATAGAATTCATTTCATACTTTAAAAAAATTATTTTCAAAAATTAAAGTACTTATTTCTATGATTTATTCATTGTGGATTTGCTGGTAAATAGTAGTAAAATTTAAATTACTCTTGATCAAAATGCATGTTCACACACATCAGGTCTAGTGTGCTGTGTATTAATAAAGATCCTATAACTGAAAGTTTCCAATTAAAATAAAAAAGATAGAATTTTAATTTTTTTAAAGTCTCAGTATTGACTGTTGCTCCAGAACTATTATCACTGTGATAATGGGTATTAAAACATGCTGGTGTTAAAGCTGAAAGATTTTTTAGTTTGTGAAGATAAAGTGTGTGAATGTGTATTTTAAGTGATTCTTTAAGTTAAGCTATACCCTTTATAAAAAAGAAAATTGAGTCATGTCCTCGTGCTAATTCTATGGAAAGGTAATTTGCTTTCATATTAGGGAATTTCATATATATGTATATATCCCATTCAAAAAATTTGAATTTGAAACTCAGTGCAAGTTGATTTTAAATACAAATAACAGAAGATGTTTTTGTTTGTTTCCTGCAGCCCATTTGGAAGCCCTTTCCTAAGCAAGACAGTGACTTATCGGTACCAAGTGGCACAGGCTCTGAACTGCATATACCTCAAGTATGTGAATTCTGTCAAGCAGTTTTCCCACCATCCATTACATCCAGGGGGGATTTCCTCCGGCATCTTAATTCACACTTCAATGGGGAGACTTAAGATGCATTTGAAAACAGACATCTCAAGTTCTACGTGATGATTTTGGGTTTGTAATATTATATATTAATACTTGATTGCAGACTTAGCTCAAGATTATTTACTGAAAAGTCCAGTCACTGCTATTTGAATTTTTTTCTAAACTTAATATCATAACTGTCTTTTATTGACTTTTAAAAGATTGTTTTGTACAAAGCTGTAATTCATTGTATTCATGTTTACAGTGTTTATTATGTATGGGATTATGCAATTGTGTAACAATAATTTATGTTTTTTTCAAATGTCTAAGCTTATTGCTTGGGTTTCTAGTTAGATCTATTGAATGTGGTGATGTCAAATGTTTATAGGGTTTTTTTAATTTGTTTTCATTTTAAAATTTAGATTATTTATGCATTGGGTGTTCTTTTTGAATAAACCTATAATAGAGAATAGTAGACAAGATAAATATCTGAGTAAATACCAAACTTAAGACATTTGTTGCTTAGTGATAAAAATCACTAGTGGGATTATTTAAAAACTTTAGTTTTTTTTTAATAATAGACATAAGTTTAATTCTTTCTGTATGTATAGCTACATGATGAAGTTAGTTAAATATTAAGAGTTACTTATGTTGTGATAGTTACTGTGTTCTTTGTTCCTGAATAAAAAAATAAATCACATTTGGGGGAAGTTCATATAAATCATGTTTCTTTCCAATAATCTGAAAGAAGGGTGATACCAGATCTGGTGACATTTTATTACAGTTAATAGATCACTTTGAAATTTAAAATTATTTTTCAAGCTAAACTTTCTAAGGGAACACATTTGTCTTTAAGGGGAGCAAATCTAAAACCTTGTAAGGATTATCCATATTTATTAATTTATATTAGAAATGTTCACATTCTTGTTGAGAAATTGTTAATTCATTGTTAGCAGCCTGATGACCAGTGGAGGATATTTAAGAGAGAGGATACCAAATTCAGAAGACTGCAGAATTTTGTTTAAAATGAGACTTCCCTATGATTCTTGTCATTTAGGTTTCTCTTCCCTCCCCCACCCCACTCTCAATTTTTTAAAATGTTTGACGCATGGCTTCTCTTTTATGAAGTAAACACTGATTTGCAACTCTCAAAACAGAAATTTAAGCCTTCTTGGGAGCAAGTGTTTTAGAAAGCTGTGGGGAGGGTTTCTGATAAGGGGTTGGAGCAGTTTGTTCGTATTTCACCTGTGCCACGCTGAAGGGCCTTAGCTTGTGGAAGAATGAGAGTGGTGGCTCGACTTCTCCGGGTGCCAAGCACATCACATTGACATCTTCCTCAGCAAGGTGACAGTGATTATTAGGCATTCACTGTGAAGGGTTCTGAGGCATGTACATCTTTCTTTCATTGCCACTGGGGCTGAATGGAAATGCCTAGACAATTATCCAAGTCTCTTCCCTTCCCCCCTACCTCCCGCCCACCCAACCTCCCCTCTCACTCCTCCCACACACACGCAAAATTAAAAAAAAAAACTTCCCAACGTATTCCAGCCAGAATGTACCACTGCATCTATCTAGTGAAAGGCGATTCTTTTTCCTTCTCTTTTCCTAGGTGAGGAAGAGTTCCTCTCTCACAGTTGACATCTACTAGCCTACTGACAACGGAAGGAGATTATGGCCCAGAAAGGGACTCAAGAGTGTATCACTGACTCCTCCAGTCCACCCTTTTCCCACCTCCATCACTTCTAGTAAGCGGGGAACTCTTGTTTTCTGCTAGGTTCCAGTGCTATCCCAAGCTCCAACTTGTAAGGGCCAGAGGCCTTCTCGGGCCAAGGGACAGGCCGCCTGGAAACCCAGGCTCCAAGCCCGCACTGCAGAGGTGGCCCTGGCTGCAGCCTGATAAGCGGAGCAGGCACCTGCCGGGTCTCCTCTCTTAACCCTGAGTCGTGTAGGGGCTGCATCTTGGCACCTGCTACGCGTGGCCGGGTAAGAAGAGCTCCCAGGTAAAAAAGCTTCACACGCGAAACGCTGAGTCTGAAAAAACCACCCCCGCCGAGGCGAGGCAGTTGTGAGCGGGATGCCTGAGAAGTGGGAGGTGAATGTCCTCGGGAGGGCCCCCGTCCCCCCCTCACCACTCCCCCCCCAACCCTGTGCAGCTTTCCCTGGAGGCTGAGGCTGCTGCCAGCGGGGACATCTGCTTTCTTACACTCCAGCCTGGCTCACCCCGCCCCCTCAGCCCCGGGTTGCGTGGTTATTTTACCAACACCGGGGGAGGGAGAGCTCGAGGAGGTAGAAAAAGGGTGGATGGAAGCTTGGGAGATCTTCTTCCCACTCCCCCACGCCCCCTCCTTTTTTCTTCACATCTTTTAACCTTCAAGGTAAAGACTTTATAAATATGAAACGATCAGCGTGTCCGCTGGCTCCCAGGCCCGCCTTCTGCTTGCGGGGCTCTCGGGTGCGGGGCCTTGCCCTCCTCTCCAGCCTCCCCGGAGGTGGCCGGGGTTTCGGCGGCTCTGCCGCGCGCAGGGGCCGGCCGGGTGCGCTCAGCCTGTGGCGACTTTTCTCCTGGGCTGCTGCCTCGACAGCTGCTTGTAGCTACAGTAATTAGACTGTCAGTGCTTGTTAGAGGAGAGAGGGGGAAACACACTTCTGACAGCAGATTCCGAGACTCCCCAGTTTGTTAATTTCTAAGAGATCTTTAAAGCATTAATTGAGGTCTCCCCAACTCTCCCCTCCCGTCCCTCTCCTCAACTCCTCCCTTCCCAAAAATATCTTTAGGGGAAGAGAATTCTCCGCGTGGAAGCAGTGTTTTCCGCAAAACTGCCAGCCCGCCCCCGACTCACGCACACGCACACTATTTTACATATACATCTATATGCACACATGTATACGCAGAAGGTTAACTCGGCACAGGCCTCGTCCAAATAGGAACCAGGATTGCATTTAAAATAATAATAATAAATAAGTAAATAAATAAACTAGGAAGGAAGGGGGGAAGGGAAGCAGAAGTCGGGAAGAAAAGAGAAAAGCAGCAGGCTGATTACGAGGTGTCAAAACTGCCAGGAGCAAGAAGGTGATAGCAATCAGGGGTGAGAAGAGTGCGGCATTCGTGCGGGGCAACTAATTATCCGTCTCATTTGAGAAGAGCAGCATTTGAGGCAGCAGCGTTCGCCTGCTGAACGGTGACAGATTGGCGCGGAGGAGAGGGGAGGTGTTAAAACAATGGAGCCGGGCGCGCGAGCGCTGCTGCATGCTAATCAGCCCTCCCTCCGCCTGCCTGCCGCGCTCCCTCCTTCCTCCCGGCCTCCCTCCTCCGCGCTCCCCCTCCCGCCTGCGGCGCTCCCTCCTTTCCAGCGGGCCCGCCGCCGCCGCCACCCGCTTCCTGCTCCCTCGCTTTCCCGCTCGTCCTTCCCGCCGCTGGCGAGTGGAGCCCGGGCCGGGCCGCCGTGCCCTACGCGGCCCAGAAGCCTCCACGCTGTTCCCCGCGGGCGCCCTCCCGGGCCCGGGCCGCCCGCTAGCCACCGGCGAGCGCTGCCCCGCGCGGTGCTCCGAGGGCCGGCCCGTTCCCCGCGCGCCACTTCGGGGGAGTGGGTCTCGGAGGAGAGGCCGGGGGAACCTGCCTTCTCGCGGTGGACAGCGAGTGGCAAAGACTAGCGAAGTCAAGAGGGCGGGGGGCAGCCTGGGGTGGGAAAACAGTCGGGGCCAGGAAGGCGGAAAAGTTTCCCCGGACCGACGGCAGGCCCCTCGACGCGGCCCTGGAGCCGCCCTCAACCCCTGGGCAGAGTCTCCCCCGCGGTCGACCTCCCCTCGCCAGCCCGGCCAGAACTAAACGGACATGGTTTAATATGCACCTCTGCGAGGAAGACAAGTAAAGGGCCTGAAAGTTAGTTGTGCTGCCTAAGGCTTGACCTCCTGACCCCAAGACCAGGCTTAGGGGCCTCCGGACCCCTGGAGATACACCACTCCTTTGTCGCTGGGGAAAGAACGCCTCTAGGAAACCGTCCCCCGCCCTCCGCCCTCCGCCGCAGTGACCAGAGGCCGGAGGCGTCCGGGCCATGTCTCTCAGCACCGCTCCCCGCCGGGCGGCTGCGCTCCGGCCTCGGGGAAGCCGGTCGAAACCGCGGGGCCGTGCCTGCCCCTGGACGGAGACCACCGGAACCTTTCTGCTGGAAGAGGTCGCCTTAGACCTGTTGAGACAGGCCTGGGACCTGAGTTTCTTCCTCCTCTTTGAACTTAAAAGTCCATTGTTGAGCTTTAACCTTTTGCCTAAAATACACTTTAATTCGTACGTTTTTACTATTACAGATTTACATAAACTACCTGTAGAGATTGAAACACGTTGAAACACGGACGTTCTTCAGTAAGTTAAGCGAAACACAGCTCCAGAGAACTGATAGGTATTTAGACTTAAAGGAGAATGCAATTCCCTTTTAACGAGTTCTGTACTACTTAGCTAACCAGTCTGAATTAACATAAAATACTTTCTTCCCCCAGTCATAAATGGAAAAGGAAATCAGTTGAAAGATAATCCATACAGTATAATTTTTGTTCTGCTGAACCTTACCACTGCATAACTTTACACACTATTGTTTGTTTAAAAAATCAACATAAAATGTGAAAGTTTGAAAAAATTGTCATATATATATATATGAGGATTTATAGTATTCTCTCTACCCTTCTCTATTTGTAATGTTTCATTAAAAAAGTACAACACAAAAAATAAAATGACCTGAGTAAATTTTGGTATTATTGATCTTCATCCCTGATCTAGTCCTATGAAAAACTGCACAAACACACAGAATGAATAATTTTTCCTTTTAGAATGTGCCCAGGCATACCAATACAATAGCGGAAAGCAGAATTGTTAGAATCTACTGAATTATACAGAATGTTAAAAGTTTTAAAACTGAGATTTCTTAAAAGACTCATATAAAGAATTGTGTGTAGATAAATGTTAATGCTTTTTTGTTTCCACTCTGGAAAACCACTAAGCAGGCCTCTCTGCCCTTAGTACATCACAGACTTTTTAGTGCTACAGTATTATCTGGCATTTAGAAAATTCCCTGGCATCTGAATCTGTTAAAATAGCAACCTACCTAACAGAAAAAAAATAATAATAACTTTACATTTCTTAATGTAAACTTTGAAATTCAGATGCTCCATCAGTATCAAAATTAAGCAGTTTATTAACAATTCATCAGCCTTTTCTTCATTAACCAACTATGTAAGCCAAGTGTCTCTGATGCAGTAAACCTTTAGAGTTCAAATAAATTTAGTTCAATTCTATGTTGTGTTATGTATTTCTAATATATAATCAAATTCTTCACCTTCTAACAACTTGGTTATTATGGATTTACTGTAATTTCTTCTCAGTCTATAGACTTTGCAAATTTGCATGATTGTTTTAATGGTGTATTTGCAGATAAGTTTTTATTTGCACATAAGGACAAAAAGGTGAAGTGAAATTTGGTCCCAATGGAAACCTGTTAGGTTCCCTGAACATATGGCTCATTGGGCTGTTACTTCCTTTTTGAGATCATTTTCCAAGATTTTTTAATATATACATCAACTTGACACCAGTTATAAAGAAAATATATTGACTTTGTAGATGCCTCCACCTGGGGACCATCTCTCAAAAACAAACCATTCAGTCAGGTGCACCTCTAAATGTCCAGTCTCAAGAACAGGGCATCATTTGAAATTAGTCAGAACTGACAG